GTTGACATTTTTAATAATTTTAAATAATTAATTTTAAAAAATGAAAAAAAAAATTAAATAAAACGAACGGCCACCCGTAATTTTTTTTTAGTTTTTTTTTAAAAAAATTATTATTAAAATTAAAAATTATTTAAAAATTATTAAAAATGTCAACTCAACTGCCACGTAAGCAGGTAACATGCTAAAATTGATAGTAACATGCTATCAGGTGAAATTGCACGTTTTTTGAGTGTTTAGTGACCTAATTGTACTTTTTTTTCGTTGAATGACCTAATTGCATTTTCACGTTCAGTGGCCAATTTGAACCTTATTCCTTATTATTTTATCTCATTTATTCCATTTTCATCGGTCACGTGTGTCATTGCAAACGTTACTTGCGATCCCATTCAAGATTGATTTCCATGTAGACCAATCTACGTCTCCAGAGAATCGTCGATCGCATAATTCTCCACGTCCGCGCTGTAAAATCATCGCTGACGGCTTACGCGAGCGACGTCATCCTTTTCGCCATCAGAAAAAGTAAGATTCATAAAGGAGAGACGAATAAGCAGGCTGCGATTCCGCGAAGGCGGTAGGATCGTCGCGGGACTCGAGGAACATTCAATTACCACGCACCCGCGTATATAGGTTGCCGGAGAGGGAGAACTCTGCGGCTATTCATTCATTTGTTGAATTGAAAAGAAGAGCAATTGCTTTGACTATTATTCTAACTTGCGACAATCCGCCGCTTCTCTTGAAATTGTATGAGCATAGTGCTGAGGAGGTGTCGGAAACCGGCGGTGAAGATGGCGGAAGAGATTAATTCATCTTCTGCTGCGGCTGCGGCCGCCACCGCGGCTGCTTCGGAAGAAAAGAAGAGATCGCTATGGCCGTCTGTTTTGCGGTGGATCCCTACTTCCACGGACCACATCATCGAATCCGAGAAGCGCCTGCTTTCTCTTGTCAAGTAACTATCTTAAAATCCCTAGTTTTAGAAAGAGTTAACTCAACCTCAGGTCACTTGTTTTTTCGACGATTTCAAATTTAGTGGCCATTTAAAATTTTAGATTATTATTTTTAGACACTTTTAGTTCTTTTCCACTTTTTTAAATAAGAATATTTTTATACCTTTATACTTTTCTTTTGTTATTTTTTGATTTAATTAATTTTACTAAAAATTAGAAGTTACTTAGATCCATTAAATTAAAAAAATATAACAAATGATTCAAATATGAAGAGATAAAAAATATCTATAAAAATAATTAAAAGTGTCCAAATAAAAACGATAGCTTGGGATTTAATTTGGAATTGCTCCAAAACAGGTGGAATTAACTCTTTTAGAAAGATGCACAAGTCGGTTATAATTTAAATCATTTCTGCATTTTAAGATACCGCTACTTATGCTTCTGGATTGAGTGTGATTTCGGTGTATTTGATGCGGTGTGTTTCATTTGGTTAATCAGGACTCCCTATACTCAAGAGAGAGTTAATATTGGTTCCGGTCCGCCGGGGTCCAAAATTAGGTGGTTTAGATCCGCAAGCAACGAACCGAGGTTCATAAATACAGTTAGCTTTGACAGCAAAGAGGGATCTCCTACTCTTGTTATGGTTCACGGATATGGTGCTTCTCAAGGCTTCTTTTTCCGCAATTTTGACTATCTTGCCAAGCACTTCAGAGTCATTGCCATTGATCAGCTTGGGTGAGTATTGTACTATTCTGTATTATACACATGCATAAGCATATTCTGTCTGTTTTTACTGATCCTTTTGATCCATGTTGGTGCAGGTGGGGAGGATCTAGCAGACCTGACTTCACATGCAAAAGTACAGAAGGTCAGATGCTCAGATACTGGATCACACTTACTTTTGTTTCCTTGTAGCTGCCATTCACTTACAAAATGATGCCTCTTTTTTAAATTTGGATGATTCACACTAATTGGATCCCAAAGATAGGTGAAAAGGGTTTCTTAGGTTTGGTGAATGAATATAAGTCCCTTAAACTTACAAAAAGATTAATCTTTTAGGTTGGGGTGATTAATTAGGATCCCAAAGATAGGTGAAAAAAGGTTTCTTAGGCTTTGATGAATTAAAATTAATTAGATTTTTCCTAAATTAACATCATTTGTATTGTTGAACTTGTAATACAGAAACTGAAGCATGGTTCATTGATTCTTTTGAGGAGTGGCGCAAAGCCAAAAACCTGACCAACTTTATTTTACTTGGGCATTCATTTGGAGGGTATGTTGCTGCAAAATATGCACTCCAGGTAAACTTTTTCTGTTGGAACTATGAAGTTTTGCTTATTAAATCAATATCACTGTTTCTCTGAGCTGATGTTAATTCTGTCACTACTGTAGCATCCTGAGCATGTTCAACACTTGATACTGGTGGGATCTGCTGGGTTTACATCAGAAACAGAACACAGGTCAGAGTGGCTTACACAGTTTAGAGCAACATGGAAAGGAGCTATTATTAATCATCTATGGGAGTCTAATTTTACCCCTCAGAAGCTTATTAGGTATCTGCTGTTAATGCTCCCCTTATTTTGTTATTATTTTTGTGTTTAGAATATTTTTCATTTCAACTTTTTTCTTCCCAACCAAAACATATATGAATTGCTAATTGTTCTCGATTTTACCTGCTATTTTAATATATGAATTGTTTCTCCATAACATCTTCAGGGTAAGTTGAGACTTGAGAGGACTTTGTTGTTGTTGACTTGTTATCATAATTATTGAATTTGATCATTTTATGTTTATGCAGAGGTTTAGGTCCATGGGGCCCAGATCTTGTTCGTAAATATACAGGTTTTAGGTTTAGTTCAGGTGGGGATGGTTTGACCAATGAGGAGTCTGCGCTACTGGCAGGTAGCTTCAAATGAGCCTCCTTCACTTGTTAGTTGTTACCTGTTTATAAATTTTCTAATGACACCTGTTTCTTTATTGGAAGATTATATGTACCATACTCTGGCAGCCAAAGCAAGTGGGGAGCTGTGCTTAAAATATATTTTCTCGTTTGGAGCATTTGCTCGGAGTCCTCTTTTACATAGGTGAGAACCTTGTTGCATTATATAGAGATTGTTCCTTTAATGAATGAAATGCTAAGATAGTCTTAATATTGAGCTCTTATATCTTTAATTTCATGATGCATGAATCATGATTACCAGAATAGTTTTACACAGGCACAAAGCATATGATTCGTTCATGTGTGTATTAATTTTAGTAAATTCTTCTGAGATCAGTTATGTTGAAGGTGCCTGTGGCTTTTTAATAAATTCTTCCATTCTAGCTTGGGCATACTGGCATTTCCTATGATTTGTTGCATCAATGCAAGCTTCGATCTGCTATTAAAACCCTGATGTGCTTTCTGCCTCCTGAATTCAACTTCTTGTTTAAGTAGAGAATGTTCGAGCTTACAATGTCAGTTTTGAGCTTAAGAAATAACATCATATTACAGACTTAATATAGCTATATAGACACGTCCTTCAATCAAGTGTTATATCTTATCCGATGCAGGGCATCAGAGTGGAAGGTGCCGACAACCTTCATATATGGTCTTCATGATTGGATGAATTACGAAAGAGCAGTAGAAGCACGCAAGAATATGAAAGTTCCATGTGAAATCATAAGGGTACCTGAGGTCAGTCCATATCTAATACACCCCACCCCCACACCACACACCCACACCCACACCCACACCTACAGAAACAAAAACGCAGTGAGAAAATAAATGGAAATTAACCAACCCACTACTTGTTCTTTATGAACATAAGGATACAAAATGTGGGGACTGGGGATATTGGGCAAGGACTAGTTGCTGTGCACCATTTTGCTATGGAGTATAGTTTTTCTTTTTAACTGTAAAGAGGCACTGACTTTTTTTTTTTTTTTTTTTTTTTTTTTTTTTTTTTGGGTTTAAAATTGCAGAGTGGGCATTTTGTGTTTATAGAGAATGCACCAGATTTCCATTCTGCTGTATACTATGCTTGTCGTAGATTTCTTTCATCAGACCAAGACAATCAGTCATCAAATCAAGACAATCAGTCACTTCCCGAAGCCCTATTATTTGTTTAATCAAAAGGTTGTCATGTTATAGTCCTGGTCTCCTGGAATTAGTGTGTAATATTCTAGTTAGTTCTCTTAATCTTCTATATAATCTGTGTCGGCATCTTCTATGGCAAGAATAGCCATGTGTATGAGATTTCTTTCTGGTACATAATATTACACATTTCATTCAAGATATGCCCATTTTATGGTAAGCACTCCTGTCATTGCAATGTTCATCATAGTTTTGGGCCTGCAAGCAAACTAATTCTCTATGGTGGTTGTGACATTTTGTTGTGGATAGCTCTTATACAGGGTCTTTGTTTTATGAGAAAATGTACTTTGGATGAAATTTGACTTGTTTATAGTTGATCGTTTCAAATTGAAAGATAATTTAATGAGTTGTTCATAACTTACCACTATGATTGAATTCACAGCTCGTTGTTATGATCATCTCAAATTGAAAAGATAACCTAAACTTAACTGGTTGTCAATTACACATAGCTGACAACTTCAAACCGATAAAGTCAATATGTAATTCTTATTTTCGTATACAAAAGTTAGTTTTTGTACCATATATTTATGTCAATATTAATTGGTACTTATACTTTGTAGTCTTTAACTTTAGCAAATGATCACAAAAAAGATATTCATTACATGATGACTCAAATCAATTATTTCAAGGAGTAAAATCCGACTCAAATCAACTACTTCATTTTAAAGAGTGAAACTGGCCGTTGCTTCAACATGTTTATTATCTTGCTTCAAAATTAATATGGATGGATAAATTGTCTTTGTAAATTTAATGTTGAGTGTTAATAAAATTTTGTATGGAGAAGTGAATTTTAATCTTAATTGCGGTGAATTCGGTAAAAAGCGAAAAATATTTTTGGAAGAAAATGGTAGGTACTGTAACTGTAGATACAGAGTGAAATTCATAGATCAGCAAAGGAGCTGGGTTTCACAGTATCGATACTCCATGCTGAAGTTTTTGAGCTTCTGTGCTCATCAGTTATCTCCTAACCCGTACGCGGCGACGTTAATGATGTATCTCTTGCTTCCGCAACTGCGGCGGATTCACCCCTGACAGGGACGACGCCATTGATTTTGCCAGCGAGGGAAGGTGAAAATCACAAGTAAAAGAGAAAAGAGGGAAAGAGAGACGGAGGAGCTTAGGATTCTCAAACAACATGGGCGGCACTTTATTCTCTAATAATAATAATAATTTTAATTATTAAAAAAAAAAAAAAGACACGTTGACTCTTCCTATCAATGTGCCATTCTTATCGACAGAGAAGAGAACAACAATGAGCAGTAATCGCACGAGCATAGGGCTGAAAAGGGGTCGAATTGGCGGCTACGATGGAGGAGCAGGTGATTTCATCGTCATCTGATGCGAAGAAAAGATCTCTGTGGCCGTCGGCTCTCCGGTGGATCCCTACCTCCACTGATCACACCGTCGCTGCCGAGAGGCGTCTTCTGTCTCTTGTCAAGTACGGAGTAAACATCTTTAATTTACTTATTTTATCTCCAAATTTCCAGATTTTGGATATACGCATGAGGTATCAGAGGCAGAATAGCTTATCGTTCTTTCAAATTCTTCGTTTCAATGACGCAACAGCTTTTTATCTTGGATTAATTTGGAAAATTCTAATATTTTAGCTGATATGTAGCATACTAAAAGGAGAATATTCAAAAATTTTGAAAAATTTACTAGAGAATAATAGGTCTAGCCATTTTTATGTAAGTTTTACCTTTTGTATATGTGGGATTTGGCTTCCAAAGTTCCAAGTCTTTACCATTCTAATTGTTATAATACTGTGACATTGTAGTTCATTTTTATTTATTATTATTGTCTCATGGGATTGTGGAATCGGTTTAATCAGGACACCCTATACTCAAGAGCATGTTAACATTGGTTGTGGTCTGCCACGTTCCAAAATAAGATGGTTTCAATCTACAAGCAGTAAGCCGAGGTTCATAAATACGGTCACTTTTGACAGCAAGGAGGGAAATCCTACTCTTGTTATGCTCCATGGCTATGGTGCTTCCTTAGGTTTTTTCTTTCGCAATTTTGATGCCCTTGCCAAGCATTTCAGAGTCATTGCCATCGATCTACTTGGGTGAGTGTGCTTTGGGTTAAGTTTTGGTTTCCTTCAAGTGCTTGAGTCCAGATGCAGTTAATAGTTAAGGTTATAGAGAAGTCCAAAGCATTCAGTCTAAGCCAGTTCATACACTTCTAATTTCTTATAAGTATAGTTATAAATACTTTGTTATTCATCAAATAAATACCATGCAGTAATAAATATAGGAAATTATAATTACATGAGAAAGAATAAATTGTCAAGTTGGTTATTAAGGAAATAATTTACAAAAATAAATACAAAATATTGTGTGATAGCTTGAATAGTTTGCTGGATCAAGCACTAGTTTATATAAAGCTACTGCATGGTGCAGGTGGGGTGGATCAAGCAGGCCTGACTTCACTTGCAGAAGTACTGAAGGTTAGGCATAATGTTGATATTGAATTGAAAAACTTTTGTTTCCTACATAGCTGGCATACATATTATAATTGAATGGGCATTGTTCAATTTGGAATGGTTCACTGAGAAAAGTCATATAGAAAGCCAGTGGGTGAAACTGCTTTACGTCCATTCAAGATTGATTTTAGAAAATGCTTGTATAACTACATCTTTAGGCTGATTAAGTTTTTCTTAAAATGTTATCATTTTTCTGTGTCCTTGAACCTGTAATACAGAAACTGAGGCTTGGTTTATTGATTCATTTGAGGAGTGGCGCAAAGCCAAAAACCTCAGCAACTTTATTTTGCTTGGGCATTCATTTGGAGGATATGTTGCTGCAAAATATGCGCTCCAGGTATATAAAAGAAAATTCCTGTAGTACCTATGAACTTTGATAGCTTATGAAGCTAAAGTCATTGCTTCTCCAGATTGATGTTAATTTTGTTACTTGTGTAGCATCCTCAGCATGTTCTACATTTGATTCTTGTGGGACCTGCTGGCTTTACATCAGAAAATGAAAGCATCCCCAAAAGGTTTATGTTCAGAGCAATATGGAAAAGAGCTCTTCTGAATCATCTATGGGAGTCCAATTTTACCCCTCAGAAGCTCGTTAGGTAAAGTGTTCGTATATATATGTGTGTGTGTTATATTTATTATGAATATGTTAAGACTGAGTGAATGGAACCAAATTACTAAAACGACCCCAGTTAAAAAATTAGAAAACTATGACAGGTCAATTTTTACCCTGGTGAGAATTTTTTTTTACAATACCATAAAGAAATGGGAAGATAGAGAATAACATCTCACTGAACTTGCTTTCAAATTATATCCAATAGTTATTTATGATTTCAATATTATACAGAGAGAGAGAGAGAGAGAGAGAGAGAGTGTGTGTGTGTGTGTGTGTGTGTGTGTATTTATTCATATTTAACTATTTAAGTCCACCAAGCTAACAATTGTCACTGTTCATGCTGTCGTATTTTCTATCAATGGAGAATATCTCCTTTCAACCACATTCTTCCCTGGTAAAACAGAAAAAATGATCAATTAGTAATTCTCACTCATCTCTTTCTAGTTCTGGCTTCCTATTACATCCATTTATGCATGTATCAAAATTTATGCATAAACCTTATACTCTGGCATAATTATATTTTGGATGTATATCTGAATATCTGATTGCATTCACTGTATAATAGTTACCTGTACTATCTCACGACTAACTTGCTTGCATAGTTGCCACCCTCATCTGTGGTAAGCCGAAAACATAAGCTCTTTCTATGAATCTGCTGAATGTGCTCCATTTTATCTTCTACTTTCAAATACAGGTTCTCCCAAATTAAGTCTTTTCCTTAAAATGTCTATGGGAAGTTGAGGGGATTTTTTATTTTATTTTATTTTTCTGTTTTTTTTCTTTACATGTTTGTTGCTGCTGGGGCTTGCTGATGCAGAAGTTTTGGTCCATGGGGCCCAGATATAGTTCGTAGGTATACACTCGCCTCATTTGGTGGAAATAGAATTGCTGAAAGTCTCATTGAGGAGGAGTCTCAAGTATTCACAGGTAACTTGCTTACTTGCTTAAAATCACTTTTCTTGTAGAGCTGTTGTTTAAGGTCCTAATTATGACTGTTTCTTTGTTGAAAGATTATATATACCATGCTCAGGCAGCCAAGGCTAGTGGAGAACTGTGCCTAAAATATCTATTCTCCTTTGGAGCATTGGCTCGGAGTCCTCTTTTACATAGGTGAGACGCTTGTGTAGCATAATATAATCGATATGGCATTTCAATTGATGGGTAAAGTACTGATTTGCATTCCACTTAATCAGAAGATTGTTGCCCTTGGTGTCCAGTAAGTTTTTACTAGAGTATCATCTCTTTTGGTGCAGGGCCTCAGAATGGAAGGTGCCAACAACCTTTATATATGGGTTTCGTGATTGGATGAATTACGAAGGAGCAGTAGAAGCACGCAAGAATATGAAAGTTCCATGCGAAATTATAAGAATTCCTCAGGTTAGTCCATCTTCTCAGCCCCATCATCCCCCAAAACATGCACAACAAATTTAACCAAATAAAAGAGATTAACAAGAAACTCCCAATACCATTTAATTGGAGTTTTGATAGAATGTGGGAGTTTTGATGACTGCTATTTATTTTATTCCTTTGCAACTTACTGGCTTTGTTGATATAATTTGCCAATTTTTATATCTGGAAAAATGCAAGAACTATTTTTTGGTTACAATAACATTTTATTGTTTAAAACTGCAGGGGCGTCATTTTGTGTTTGCACAAAATCCAATAGGTTTCTATTCTGCTGTCTGCTATGCTTGTCGTATGTTTATTCCACCAGACCAAAGCAATCACTCACTTCCTGAAGGTCTACTATGTATGTAGTTTAGATATAAGAGGTATTATTATTTTGTTATTTGTTGGTGGTGGTTCTAGACTTCTAGTAAGTATACATTTCATTAGCACTAGTTTATTTACTGCATTCATCATTTTTCCAAAATGTATTTGACCTCAAATTTTGTTTTCTATGAAAGTATGGATTTAATCTTTTCTATACAAAAAAAATGTTCTACCTTAATCAAATAACCAATAATCCTCATCCTGTGAGATACTATATGTTACTTGCTTGCATAGTTTTTACCATATTTATGAAAGGAAAATGGCATGTGTCCCAAGGAGTAAAAGTTTCGCCATGTGTCAGGATTTTATTCATAGAAGATAAAGCAATGAATAAAAACTGTGGCCCAATGAATTAGAACATGTCACATATTGAGGGAGTAAAAAATTGAGTAGAAAATGGGAGTACGTGTAGTATTACTTTTTATGAAAAAACTAGACTATTGACTGTACAGAGCTTGTGGAGATTTCTCAGCATTTTGCTAGTATGAAAACAGTTGTTCAGTAAGGGATAGTATTTTAGCCTGTACATTGAAGTTGTGCCCCCAGTTTTCTATAATTTCATATCATTCCTTGCTTCCAATTAGCCATGACGCGCCATAGCTCAATAAAGTCTTGCGATGTTTCTTAGGTTGAAGTGCAAAGCTGAGTCCAAACATTTCCTTGGGGGCCTCACTTGGCTCTACGAGTCCAACTAGTTTTGCAACAAGGGTTGCACTTTCCTGGATATGCTCCATATCTTTTGTGTCCTTCCATAGCATTTCACTTAGTTGGCGTCTTCTATGATATGTTTTTACATCAACACCCCATTTCTGGAACAATGCCTCTCTCTCCTTTCTTCCTAACTTCTTTCGCATCTGCCTGCTCAACATCTTCCTCTCCGCCTTGAGTGTTTTAATGCTGTTGAGAACAGATAGAAAACTTGATCATTCTAATGCTCCTTGGCTATGGTATGTGCGCATGACGAATGGAGAGAAAGTGGAAGAGAGAAGTACCTCTCTGGCTTTGTTAAAACTTGACCATCTGTGATAACTTCAGCTCCCTGAGACCATTTATTCTTGAGAAAATGTAGACGTCTGAGCTCCACCTCCATATAGACCAAATCTGAGGGATCTCCTTTAAAGAGAAGGAAGAAATAGGTTCTATGGACCAGTGGTGCATAGCATTCATCCCAAAGCTCAAATACTTCTTTCATCTTCATCTCAAATTCTATTGACCCGTAGGAAGGAGTTTGGTGGGAAACAGTTGCTACTGCTAGACCCTCACCTGCTACTTGTGCAAAGAATTCCTTGTGTATTTCTTCTGCTTCATATAGCTACAAAAAAAAATGATATTATATTATAGAGATTTCAAATAGCTGCATTTCTGAATTGGTAAATGAGCAAGTCAGAACCCCACCAATTGGTAAAGTTGCTTTTCTGAGTTAGGTTTGGCATCTTTTGTACCACTGCAAAGTTTCTTTTCAAGCATAGTCTTAGCATCTTCGTTTAGTAATGTAGTAAAACATGGTTCACTTGCTGTAGTATCACCCATTAACTGAGTTGTCTCATCACGTTCTTCCTGTCTTCCGCTACATTCTTCCTGTCTTGCATTGAAGTCCTCTTTAGGTTCATTTTTTTGAAAATCCTCTTTAGGTTCATTTGTTGCCTCCACATTTACATTGTCTTTTTCATCTCTAGGAGATAGTGGCATTGCCTCCACATTTACATTGCCTGTTTCATCTCTAGGAGATAGTTGCCTTGCCTCCACATTTACATTGTCTGTTTCATCTCTAGGAGATAGTGGCATTGCCTCCACACACTTCTGATGCCCCTCTTCAGGGGGTGATGCTTCATAGGAACCCATGGTGCTTGTGTTAGGATCTGTTTCAATGCATTTAACTTCCTTCCAATTATCATCGAAACTCTGATGATGTTCATGGCCAGTATTCTCCCAACCCTTACATGGGTCGGGACCAAAATACTTATCAAGATTTGGAGATGTGCTGCCCGAGAGAAAGAGGTCATCAGGCAGCTCAGCAAAACTATCATCAAATGAGTCTGTAAAATGTGATATTCCAGATGTAATATCTGAAATAAAAGAACCAACCATCTCTGGAGATTCTGATACTGACTGATAGTCTGGAGTTTCTGAAGCTTCAGACATTTCAGCCTACAGGGAAAGGAAAAGGAATCGATATTCTGGGGTTGATGCCATAACTTGTAAGATACAAAAACTCAAGTTACTTCTTAACTTTCATACCCATGGTCTTGAATGTAACAGATCCTGAATCCAAGTTTGAGCTGTGTCTCGCTGTTGCATCAACTCCCTGATTTCTTTATCCATCTGAATGATTTGAACAGTTCATAGAGAGGAAGCCGGTAAGATACTTCAAGGTACACTCACTCTATCACTTAAATCTGAATCTTGAAACCCCTACCTTTTCTATAAGAGCTTCCTTCTCCTTCATTGCTGGCGAGGTATTTGCAGCTAAGTTCCTCAGTTCAGTTTCCAGTCTTTCCACTTCACTCTGCAATTGCCTCACCATTGCTTTATCTGTCATCACCGTATTAACATGTGCATTGGTAGAAACTTGTTTGGCACAGGTCGCGAACATGAGAGTGTTTCTTGACTGCTCGGCCTGGCTGTGTGCAGGGCTCATGGTGCAGATAATCGCAGTTCTAGCATTCCCTCCTAGCGAATTCTGCAGTATACGTGTTAGCTTGGAGTCTCTATATGGAATATGCCCATTTCTTCCTTTGCTGATCAAAATCCAAAACCATTGACAAGTAATATAAGTATCTCTAGAGGTTACTTGATGCAGCCAACTTGGATAAGTATTACTACAAAAGTACTAACCTTAGTTTACGAATACATGTTCCTAGGGCCAGCAAACTCCGGTTTATGTGGCTACCTTCTTTGATTCGTGTGTTCACTAGAAATGTTTGTGAAGCACGCTCACTTCCTGCAAGATCAACAAAATCCTGCATTTTGCAGCAAAAAGAAGAAGAAAAAAGATGTCACTTCTTTCCTGTTCCTTTTGCATCATAAGGAAATATTCTTCTGAAGGTTAGGATTTTCTTTCATACCACTGAAGCTGATAAAATGCTATTGTTCTGAGAACGAAAAGGTTGGGTGGCACTACTTTCAACTGTCTGAAAAATTCAGTACACTCAAGAAGATAGTAAGTTCTAACAAAGTGTATATATATACTGCAAAAACTAGAATAACATATGAAGTAGTTCATACCAGCCGCAGAATCTGGTGAGACCTTGAGCTCATTTCGTTCATAGAGGTTTCTGCTATTCGTCTTTGTGCTGCAAGAACACAGAGCTAGTTGTGTTGAGCATATACTATATAAAATATAAATGTATAGTCTCATTGCCAGTTTAAACTTTCAGTTGAGACGGAACACATTAGTTGAAGGAACGAATTGATGAAATGTTGAAAGAGAAGTCGAGAATGAAGCTCTCTTTTACCTTCACAGATGGACAGAAGTTCTATTATATGCCTCCAATCTCTCACTGTCACCTCCGTAAGCCTCTCAACAACAGTTCCTTTCTGCACAATAGAAATGCAGTAAGAAACTTTTAGTCTCACTATCAGTTTAAACTTTTTGTTGTGATGGTAGAGCACACGTGAGAACATAAAATCCTCACCTCTGGATCATCAAGAAGTCTGAGTGGAGTAGTATCCAAGCTTAGGAGGTCCCTCACAGACTCATTGTAGATCTCCAAAGCAGAGAACTTCAGGGTAAATCGTCTCTCTTCATGCTAAAAATTCCAAGTGTTTTAGTGGAACAAAAGTGTTTAGACAAATCTTGATAGCTTGCAAATAACATTGATTTGGAGAAAGTAGAAACTTTTCAGTACCTTGTTTATATAGTCAAAGATATCAGCCATTGCGAGTTGAGTAATCCCAAACATGGTGTATGTCTTTCCACTGCTTGTCTGCCCATAGGCAAAGATACTTGCTGGAGAATCATTTTTTAGGGAAATTAGGCCTAGTTTCACACACTAAATCGCATAAAACCAAAGTGCGATGTTTGAGATATACATACAGTTAAACCCAGTTAGGACGGTAAGAGCTATGTTTTTTGCAGCTTCTTCATAAACTTGCCTTGTGGAGCAATCCCACCCAAATACCCTGTCTATACCATGAACCATCAACCATCAACCATCAACCAATATGGAGGAAATGATGACATTTAGGAGCAAAAGCACAAGGCCTTATTCTTGATTAATGGAGAACACATTAGGAGAAGGGAAAATCACACTCTTTGTTCATTAATGGTTGTAAGTTATGCAATTTAGTCCCTCATTTTCAATAATTCATAATGTTATCAATCTGGTCATTCGGTTAAAAGACAGTTTATTTTAGAGTTTTCCTTTGACTTTTTTGGAATTTTACATGTAGCTCTCGATTTCCGTCCATAGCTCATGTATGACACTTCATTTTCTCTCGGGATAAGGATCAAATAGACCCTCACACTATATATCAAACTGCAATTAGGTCCTCGGACTAAAAAAAACATACAATTAAACACTTGAACTTGTTAAAACAATGCAATTAACCCATTTAGCCTATAATAGCAAGTTATTTTCAAGTTACATGTCACGCAGGATGCCATGTAAAATGCCACATCACGCGAATTAATATTTTTAAACTTTATTTTTAAAAATAAAATAATTATACTAAAAAAAATAGAAACAAGCAAACAGAAACGCCATGGCAGCTTGAAATGGTTGACGGAGAAGCCGAGCAGCTTCTCCATTCAATTCAGACCATTCAAATCTAATATAAAACTTTAAAGAATAAAATAAAACAGAAGCAGGGAAACAGCAAGGCATGGCAGCCAAGCTGACATGGTTGACTGAGAAATTGGAGAGAGCTTCTCCATTCAGTTTGGACAGAGAAACCCGCTCGCTTCTCCGTTTACATCTTCTTCTCTTTTTTTTTTTTAAACAAACAGCAATGCCATGGCAGCTATGGTTGACAGAGAAGTCGACGGGCTCGCTTCTCCGTTCAAATCTTTTTTATTTTTTTTAAACAAACAGCAATGCCATGGCAGCTATGGTTGACAGAGAAGCCGACGGGCTTTTCCGTTCAATTCAGACGGAGAAACCCGCTGGCTTCTCTAATAAAAAATATAACATTAAAAAAAAATACAACACCATGGCAGCTTGGTTGACAAAGAAGCCCGCCGGCTTCTCCCTTCAATTCAAACGGAGGAACTTGCTGGTTTCTCCATTCAAATATAACATAAAACCAAAAAGAAAAGGAAAAAAAAAAAAAACAGAATCACGCAACACAGCAACGCCATGGCAACTTGGTTGACAGAGAAGTCGGCGGGCTTCTCCATTCAGTTCAGACGGAGAAGCCCGTTGACTTCTCCACTCAAACATAACATGACGGAGAAGCCTGGTGGCTTCTCCACTCAAACATAACATAAAATACCAAAAAAAAAAAAAAAAAAAAAAAAAACAACGCCATGCCAGCTTGGCTTAACAGAGATGTCGGCGGGCTTCTCCGTTCAGTTCAGACAAAGAAACCCGCTGGCTTCTCCGTTCAAAAAAAAAAAAACAAAAAAAAAAAAAAACACAAAACACCATGGCAACTTGGCTGCCATGGTTGACAGAGAACCCAGCGAGCTTCTCCGTTCAAATCTAAAAACATAAATAATTATACTAAAAAGGAACAAAAACAAGCAATTAGTAATGCCATGGTTGACGGAGAAGCTGGCAAACTTCTCCGTCCAAATCTAAATGGAGTAGCCATGGCTTCTCCGATGAGGAGCCAGCTTCTCCATTTAGTTCAGACGGAGAAGCAGGTTGGCTTCTCCATTCAAATCTAATGGAGAAATCTCTGGCTTCTCAGTTCAATTTCGATGGAGAAGCACGCCAGCTTCTTCATCCAATCTAACGAAGAGATCAGTGGCTTCTACATCTGGTAACTATATTTTTTTTTTTATTTTTTTTTATTGAATTGAAATGCAATGTCAATGTCAAACAAGCAAAAGTAATTGGTTACCTTTTAGTAACCTATCAAATATGTTAATTGCAATACTTTAACAAGTTCAAGAGTTTAATTGGAACAAAAGTCTAATTACACTTTAATATATAGTTGGAGGGTCTGTTTGACCCTTATCCCTTTTTTCCTCCTCCCTTCCCATTCTTGCGCCATTGTATTCCAACTTCCAAGAAGGCTCATGATAAACTCTTCTCATTAGAACATGTTAACAGGGGACTAGTTTGCATAACCGGGTGAGTCCTATTATTTTCCATTAGGAGAACATTTTTATAATCCTTAACATAGTTTAGGATAGGCAAGAAAGCAAGAATAACATAGCATTTTCATACCAAATTGATATGCTGTGGGAAGCAATGAACGTTCGCCCAGATTATCCTTAAACAAGACAGTGGTGTTATTGAAGCATTCCCAGTCTGAGACATCATGCTTTGAAAGCTCTCTCTCATTCAGAGGTCTCAACCTGATAGCAACAAAGATCTTCTCTTCATTTGCATTTAAACCATTGTCATTTGATTGAGACTTATTTGCTGATTCTTCCCCAGAGATTGAACCCATTTCCTGGAAACAAATGCTCTTGCAATCAATGAAAATTTCTTCAATCTCTGATCAGAATTCTGCAGAGGGTTCCTCTCTTGTGCAGAAAGAGAGGAACAACTTTGAATCAATGAATTGAATTTCTTCAAACCCTAAAACCCCTTTTTTCTCTCAATCCCCATTTATCTGCAAAAACCTTAGAAAACTCAATAATTGTCAGGAGAAATTATAAAAACTGATCCTTGAAGCTGTAGAAATCTGACCCCTTTGATGTTCCTTTCAGCTTATGAAATGCAAATGCATTTCATTTTATCTGTTGAAATATTCTGTGGTTTTGGAAATATATTCCCGGGTGAAAAGATAGAAAGGTTGAATCCTTGTGTTCAGTCATTTGATAATTTTTGTTTTGTTAACCCATAGGAGCCTATTGGAAATTAATCTAGTTTTGTAAAATAAAATGCTATCAGAAATAATATAAAAATAATAATAAAGAAAATAGCAAGAACAGAAAGGTTGAGATACAGAGATACAAAGAGAGAGTTTGTGTTATAGCTACAAATATGGGAATACATGAGATTTTAGGAATTTAGAGAGGATTACGGAAAACAATTAGATAAGGGCCCCTTGTAGAAGTTTTTAAAAGAAAAGTTTAGTCTTTAAAAATTTTCAATATAATCTATATATATATAAAAGTAAAATCCTCCTAGTCAAGTTTTCCCCCCAAAACTTAGGGACATTTATGTAATTTATGTAATCTAATAATAATAATAATAATAATAATAATAATAATCTATAATAATAATATTATTATTACCTTTTTGTATACCCAGTTTATTATCAAATATATTAGGAATAATTATATTAGTAATATATTATTAATTAAATAATTAGGGAAAACCGTAAGAACAATAATCTATAATAATAATATTATTATTACCTTTTTTTTATACCCAGTTTTATTATCAAATATATTAGGAATAATTATATTAGTAATATATTATTAATTAAATAATTAGGGAAAACCGTAAGAACAATGCTGTAATAATATATTAGGAATGTAGTTATACAATATGTAGTAATTAAGGTGATTATTGTTAATTAAGCTAATTAGTGTGTAGTATTTTATTTATATATAAAAGCTATACTCACCCAGAATGTATATGTATATATATGGAATGCCGTGTAGTAGTGGGTAGAAAGTAAATTTGAAGCTTTTACCTTTCTTAATATCTCTTACCATATTATAATTTCAATACTAAGCTCTTTTGATCTCATCTATTGTGTATAAATACACCTTATATGACCATAGACAACTCATCAATTTCACAATCCCAACTAAGGTTAATTATTTCATTGACTTTTTGCTAATTATCCTGTGATCTTCCACAGTTGAGGTTGATACGTGATTTGCACGGGTGAAGTTTTCATTATCTTAGTTTCTTCTTTTCTTTCTTTCTTATTGGGTTTTGTTTTGTTTTTTTTTTTTTTGTTTTCTATTTTTTGTTTTTTGTTTTTTTTTTTTGTTTTCTATTTTTTGTTTTTTGTTTTTTTTTTTTGTTTTTTGTATTTTTTGATTTTTAAACAGGAAAAGTGGTTCGTAAGAAAAAATGTTGATATATTCTCTTTTTTTTTTTTTCGTTTAATTTTGTAGAGAAGATACAGATCTATAAAGATTGATCGAGAAGCAATAGAGTTCCTTGCTCATCAAGTGGATAAAGTGGAGAGGGACGGATTTTGTGCATATGTAAACAGATGCAAAGGGAAGCATGATAAGAATACACTAAAAATGAAAATAATATTCAAAGCATTTTTTTAGTTGTCAATTTGTCAAAGCGTTGGGCTTTCTTTTGATTCAATCTCTTCGTCTTTAAAGTGTGCATTTTCTGTAATAAAAGAGTAATTTGTCTCTCCCTTCAAGATGTTTTGGCATTTTCGGCAGAATCAACACTGCGGAAGTAATCTTGACTTTGTCAGTGCGGAAGTTGTTTTTTTTTTTTTTTTTTTTTCCTGTAAATTTGAAGTTGGCATTGCTTTGGATTAAATTAGTAGTTATTTTTATGGCGGTGGTGGAAGAAGATTCAGTGATAGATGACTGCAGCAATTCATGTTAGAGGGCGGTGGTTGAAGTTTGTAGGGATGACAACTCAATGAGAGTGTGGATCGTAAATATGTGTATTAGTTTTTTTTTTTAATGTTTATATTCACTACCATTTTTAAGATTCATATTTATATTTATATTCATATTCATATTGTATTTTCTTTCCTGCATAATTTTAGGCTTAGTTTGTTGATGTATCAATAACATTGTTCAATCCCTGTGAATAAGGATTATTCCTTTGTTGTGTAGTACCATAGAAAATTGCTATGCTATTCGATCCATTTTGAAGGTGAAAAAGGTATTTATCTTTATCCTAGAATCTAAATTTATGTTGTTTTTAACTTTATTTTTTGTTTGGATGTTTGTCTCTATCTCTTTTGTCAACCTTGAAGGGTTTCAACCATGGCCGCCAATCATTGTAGATGAAAACTTGCAGGATGACTTTTTTTTTTTTTTTTTTTTTTTTTTTTTAATTTAGAGATGGTAGTAACCCCTAGAACAACTTTGATTGTATTACATAATATTGACTTGTGGATACAAAAATCAGAAATGTAAAGTGAAGAATCTGAGTGTTTTTAATATTTTTTTAATTTTAATACTTTCTATTAAAAGTTTATTATTTTAGTTAATTACACATTTTAAATATCAAATCTAAATATGGTAGCTACTCATTTTAAATATTGTAGTTAATCGAATTTAAATTTTCTCTAAAATATGTATAAATTAAATATATATATATATATATATATATATATATATATATATATATATATATATATATATATATATATATATAAATGGTTTAAATTTGTTTTGCATTGGTAGTTAATTACTATACAATCATTTAAATGAAAATCAAAAGTTTCATATTTAGTTCTTATTAATATACATGCAATGGTGCAATTGCATATATTGAAAAAGTAGTATATAAATTTAATAAAGTATATTTTCTTGGTAGTTTTATTAAAAAAAAATGCAATATTTCATAACTATTTCAAGTAAGCATTTTAGAAAGTTATTTGTATATTATATTTATTAATTTTTTATTTTTATTTCGTGAAAATATTTCATGCATGAAAATTGAATTGTAGATGTATCATATCTAATTCTTTAGCATAATATTTTTTTAAAAATTTTATTGTGATGAAGATTGTATTTATGAGTTTAGACATTGGAAGAATTAACAACTATCATATTTTTTTTAATTTTATTGTGGTGTTGATGAAGATTATACAGATGACTCATGAGTTTAGACATTGGACAAATTAACATGGATGTTAGTAAAGGATGTGGCAACACCTAACTTGCACAATTAATATATAAATTAATTAGTCTTGCTGGTGTAATCGAAATTACTGATAAATGAGAATATATATTTTCTTTTGTAGTTTACCTACTAATTTAGCTTACTAAGATGTTTGTAATAACTTTTTATTTTAATACGGTGTATTAAAAGTTTATTATTTTAGCTAATTACTCATTTTAAATATCAAATCTTATTTAATTGATAGTATATTTTTGGAAATCAACAAAATAATAGTATGTTTTTTTTTTTTTCAATTGTAATATTGCAATGTTTCCTATATAGTTATTACATAACAAAACTTTAAAATGAATAAAGGTTACATATCGTATTTACACATGAAACTTATTTATAGTAATAGTTGTTAGTATTATAAAATTACTTTAACATAGAAATATTAAAAAAAATGTTATTGATAATTAACTAATTAATAGGTATTAAAAAAAAATCATTGACTAAGAAAAAATGGCATGAAAAGTAAATCAGTTTGAAAAGGAAATGATAATTAATACTTGATTAAAAATGGCACATAATATATTACTGGAAAAAGTTAATCAATTTGAAAAGGAAATAATAATTAATACTTGATTAAAAATGACACAGAATATATTACTGGAAATAATATATATATATATATATATATATATATATATATATATATATATATGTGTGTGTGTTATTAATAATTAACTAATTAATATGTATTAAAAAATCATTGACTGAGAATAAAATGGCATGCAAATTATACCAATTGAAAAAGGAAATAATAATTAATATTTGATTAAAATGGCATGGAATATATAAATTCTGAATATATATCGGAAATTATATTAATAATTATAGTATAAATTAATTGATATGTATTAAAAAAAAATTTGACTGAGAATAAAAATGACATGAAAATTAGACCAATTGAAAAATGAAATGATTATTAATACTTGATTAAAAATTAAAAATCATTCCAAATTCACTCAAATGAAAAAGAAAATGGTCAGACCGTCCAAGCAATAGTATAAGTAAACTGAAAAAAAAAATTGTTAATTAGAAAAATAATTGATTGAGATTGAAGATAGCACGGAATGTATAAATTGTAGTATAATATTTTTTTTTTAAAAAGATCCTTATATTGACCATGTCAAAAAGGAAATGGATTAACTATAGTATATGTAAAATCGAAAAACTATATGTTATTAAAAATTTATTGGAAATATTAAAAAATTATTATTATTAATTAACTAATTAATATGTATTCAAAAAGTTATTAACTGAGAATAAAAAATGACATGCAAATTAGGTCAATTGAAAAAAAATGATAGTTAATACTTGATTAACCTTTTAAAAAATGGCACAAGATCTATAATTTTCAAATATATAATGACAATTATATTAATAGTTATAGTATAAATTAATTGATATGTATTAAAAAAATATTTAATTGAGAATACAAATGGCATGAAAATTAGGCTAATTAGAAAAGGAAATTATTATTAATACTTGATTTAAAATTAAAAATAATTCCAAATTGACTCAAATGAAAAAAAAAAAAAAAAAATTGCAACTCCGCCTAAAGAATAGTATATATAAATTGAAAATGAAATCTGTTAATTGAATAAATAATTGACTGAGATTAAAAATGACACGAAATATACAAATTATGGTCTAATATTTTTTTTTAAAAAAAATCTCCAAATTAACAATGTCGAAAAGGAAACGAATTAACAATAGTATATCTAAATTGGAAAAGGGTATCTGTTATTAATAATTTACTGAAAATAAAAAAAAAATTATATTAATAATTATCTAATTAATATGTATTAAAAAAATTATTGCCTGGTAATAAAAATGACATGAAAATTAAGTCAATTGGAAAATGAAATGCTAATTAATACTTGATTAAAATGGATCAGAATATATTACTGGAAATAAAGAAATATGTTATTAATAAATGACTAATTAATATGTCTACATATAATTAAAAGTAAAATCATCCTAGCCAAATTTTCTCGCCCCCCAAAATTTACAGGCATTTCTGTAATATTTGTGTATATATAATTAGTCTATATATAATTCATAAATATTCCGTATGTGACTAAGTAGTTATGGAAAGAATATTATGGTAATTAATTAATTAGTTTATAAAATTTATTCCGTGTGAAGTTTAGTTGACTAAAATTTAATTAATTATAAAAATTATAT